CTGCCCCCCTGCTTGGGGAAGCTGGCCCCCTCACCAGGCCCCAGCAGCATCAGAGTAGCCCCAACACCCCATCATGGCCCAGCCCCACCTAGCACAGAGGGGAGGGCCAGCCCCTCCTCTGGGTCAGGTGCAGCCTCATTGCTGAGTTCCCGTACTGGGGTTTCAGGGTGATCTCCCCCGAATTCAGCCAGTGGCCCGTGCTCCCCTCTGCTAGAAATGGGAAGACGAGGGGGGGAAATCCGGTTAGAACCGGTTCCCCAACTGTCTTGGAATGTTCCAGTGGGAGGGGGCAAAGCCCAAGATGGAACCCCGGGGACTAAGGTGACCGACTCCATTTTGTTTTACATAAAATCAATGTTTGAACATTAAAAGCACGAACATAGAGTAATAAACATACAACACAATGACAGTATATATTGCAAGTTAACCACTAACAGGTGATGTGGCATTTGGAGAATAAAATAAAAATATTTGCTGTGAGACTGTAAACCTAGGGAGGAGGGAAGCATCATTAAGGGTGAACTACTAGAAGATCCCCCAGTGGTTGGTGTGGGTAAACCCTAAAAAGGATATATGAGACTCAGGCAGGGTGGGGATGGAGCCAGATAAGGGCCTGCAGTCGCTAGAAGTGCAGCTGTTTTCTGTCCCCATCACATTCCCCAAAAACATGCCATGGGGACTGTTGCAGACATGGCTGATTTCACACAGACTCTTTCACTCGTTGATGTTTCTCCTAATGCCCCAATGTGCTCCTGCGATTCTGTGACAATCTCAGCATTCACTTTAACCACAGTCACCTTCTCGCTCTCCTGGCTGAGTAGAGCACTTTGGGGACGTGAACAGAGCAAACCTGGGATGCAAAGAAACTCACTAAACTCCCAGAATGTCAGTGATTTAGAAGCAAAACCTCCCTGTTTCCTTCAGCCAAACTACTGGTCTTTGATGATGTGAGGTTGACCACATCTAGGGTTGCCAGATGGTTTCAACAAAAATACCAGACACACTTGACATTACATCACAATCTACCTTACATCTTATTTAGAAAATACTGGACATTTATATTTTCTCAATTTGTTTCCCAAACAGAAAGCTCAAATACTGGACTGTCCGGTTCAAACCCAGACAGCTGGCAACCCTATCCTGAAATGATGAAACAAAAAACAGGACTATGTAGCAAATTAGCATGATCATATATACCAAAGGATACAATTAAAAAAAATGAACACCTATAAAAAGGACAAATCATCGTCTGGCTTCTGAGGCTGTTAGGCTGCACTCAGGTCACAAATAATATCTAACTTTCTCTAAACCCAAGAAAACTAGTAACTTCCTTTGTTTAGGAGAGATTCTCATCTCATCACAGGCTTCTGGGAGCTGGGGGCTTAACAAATACACCAGGGCTGCGTCTAGACTGGCATGATTTTGCGGAAATACTTTTAACGGAAAAGTTTTTCCATTAAAAGTATTTCCACAAAAGAGAATCTAGATTGGCACGAATGCTTTTGTGTAAAAAGTGCTTTTGCGCAAAAGCATCCGTGCCCAGTATAGATGCGCTTTTGCGCAAGAAAGCTCCGATGGCCATTTTAGCCATCGGGCTTTCTTCCACAAAAAATTAAGGTCTATTTTATGTGTGTTCACTTTTTTTTTATTGTACCCCTTTGGTATACATGGTCATGCTAATTTTCTTCCACTATTTGATCTGAGGAAGTGGGTCTGGCCCACGAAAGCTCATCACCTAATAAACCATCTTGTTAGTCTTTAAAGTGCTGCATAGTCCTGGCTTTTGTTTCAGCAAAACCAAACCAACTCGGCCACATCTCTATTACTATGCTATATGCAAAGCCTCCAGGACTGCCCACAGACAGACAGACAGACAGACAGGCCCCCCCACTACCAGCCCCTCCCCCATCACTG